GAGGCAGGGGGCGGAGGAGGGCATGATTGTTTTTTGTTTTTACAATTTAGGGGTGTGTTTGTCAAAACTTTGCCTAGTCAGCTCCTTACAATCTGGTCCCACTTGTCAGAAAGTGATCAAATGAGCCAAATCACCTGATCAGTGCGATTTGCAAAATGTTTACCGAATCCGCGGTGATTTTTGCAAAAAATTAGTGACCTGGTGGTTTTCCGCAGATGAAGTCCCAAATGTGGTGGTTTTTTGCAATTCACTCTGATAAATGAGATGGATAAAATGGGAGAATTCATGTCAAACACTGAAAGAATTACCCGAAACCAAGACCAAGAGAGCGTAAAAATAGAGCTCTCTATGATCTTGATATTCGACCATCCTCTTATTACAAAACACTGAGCAAACAGAACATTTGCTGTTAGAAACCTATCTGAACCAACGAATAAAGAATAAGATTAAGAGCAAGAATGAAAATCTAGAGGCTTTTGCAGTTGTCACTCTCCAGTGTAAGTCTGAAGAGAGCCCTCATTGCCTGCCTCTTCACTATCTTGCCATAGGTAGCCTTCCCAATCCTCACCACCTTGTCCTCAACCTCCAGCCGATTGCCGCAGCCATTGCCTTCGTTGGCGCCCCTCAGCATTGCCCTCAGCACACTCTCGCCCCCGCCGACCGCGCCGGCGACGCTCTCTGCGACGACGGCCTCTCCGGGAACCTTCCTCCCCCATTTCCTCATCAACCTGCCATTGTCGAACAAGGAAGAGTACGCGCTCCAGAAGGATGCACGCACGAATGCCTTTCGCTTCTCCTTCACCATGGACTTCCTCATCTTGTCCTCAAGCCTCACCACCAGCGCTCCCATGTCTGCCCCTCCATTGACCAACTCGTTCTCTGATCTCACGAGCTCCTGCCTGAGAACGGCGTCCTCGGCTTCGAACCGGCACCGGTCACACCGGCACTCGAACTCCCACGCCCTTGCTGCCTCCCGGCGCTTCCCCACCGGGGTGAGCACGTCGAAGTAGGGGAACGTGACCTCCTCCCCGGCCTTGATGTCCCTCGAGGCGTGAACAATGGCGTGGTCCCCGACGTGGGTGCGCCGGGCATTGGGGTGGCAGGAGTGGTTTAGGAACGACGGCAAGATCCACAGCCCCACGCCGCAGTTGACGATGCCACTGTTGCCGAGCAGATTGGCGGACGGCGCGTCCTCGGTCAAGCAATTGACGTCGAGCACCTTCATGATCCTGTCCACATCGAGAGCCTCTCGCGTGCCAATGCCAGCCTGTACGCCGTCGCTGAGATCCTCTGATTCTGGCTTGAACAATGCCATGTCCGGTACGGCGAGCTCTTCTTCCTGCTCCTCGCCGGTGGACAGAGTGTAGATCAAAGACGCCGTCCTCGGGCACCTCTCCGCGGCGTCGAGCATCTTGTCTACGAAGTCCTTCCAGACCACCATCTTCTCGTCGCTGTCCGCCGCATCCGGGATCACCCCCCTTCCGGTCGCCACGGCTTTGGAGATCATCAGAACGGCCCCCGCCTCAACGCTCTTCAGCGCAAAGACCCCTCGGCCGCCGTGCGCGGACCGGCGCACCTCCACCGGGCCGACGAACTCCGCGAGGTCCGGGCACTTCCCGGAGAAGCCCGCGAGGACCCAGTCCGACAGGTCCACCGCCCCGCTCCTGGCCTGCGCCTCGAGGCGCCTGCACTGGTCGAGCATCTCCCGCGCCTCGTCGGCGCCCGAGGCGCCGGCGGGGAGCGCGGCGCGGAAGCAGTCGGCGGCGAGAGCGTAGCGGCCGAGGCCGCGGAGGAGCGCGCCCTTGGCGAGCAGCGCGGCCGGGTGGG